AGTGAAGACAGGACAGTCACTCGTGATAATCACAGGAGCAGGGTGAACAGAGTATTATATATACAGCTAGATAGTCACTCGTTTGGAGGACCTTCAGGAGGTTCTCGAGTAAGCAATGCAAGCAGTTGTCTATACTACTGTGTGAACACTTGCTTGTGTCAACTGTTGTAGACCCTTTGGCTCTACCGAACCTCACCCCGTCGTTAAGTCAGACCTTAAGTCTCAGAGAAGTCTCTCTCAGTGGTTAGGGGACCGAGATTCGTCACAAGTATAAATTCCAGCCCTATATACCTATAGTAACTATATAACTTATCTATATACTCTTCTATAGTTTTAATAGCCTTATACAACAGTTCCTTAAACACCTCCTGTGACGAATCTCAGTCCCCTACCACTGAAAGGGACTCCTCAGACTGAAGGTTGACTTGAACAGGGTGAGGTTCGGTAGAGCCAAAGGGTCTACAACAAGTGCACAAGCAAGTGTTCACACAGTAGTAAAGACAACTGCTTGCATTGCTTACTGGAGAACCTTCAGGAGGTCCTCCAACGGAAGAGACTATCTGTCTAATATACTAATGATTGTCTTTGAGGATCACTCCCTTCCCCGTGATCCTTCCTTGTGATGCTCACCAGGCTCACCGTGAGCCTTTCATTGTTGTTGGTGATCCCTTATACCTGGATCACTACGCCAAGCGTGATCCTTTTCCTATTGGTTACTTTAAACGATTGGTCGTCGCGGCTTCCCGCGCTGCGACTGCGCCCACGCCCGGCCGTCAGTACGGTCATTTCATGACACCTCCTCACTTATATTATCACTATACTAGTACTAGTAGTTCCTCTATAACGATAATGTAATATTATAGAAGAAAGCTTTAATAGGGTTAAATTCTAGGGAATATAGTAGTAGTAGTAAAATACCTAACGTACTTGCATAGCGAGCGGCCCAGCATAGCGAGTAGCCCACTTTTCTCTGACCTCGATTACTTTGTATAAGTCAGTTCTACCAAAACGCCCTTCATTAATTAAAATTACTCAGAATCGTTATCCTCAGACGTCTCACTAACTACTTGACAAGTTCGCGCATTATGGCCGGGCTGCTTGCAGTTGCTACAAAGCCGAACGTGTGGCTTAGCGACGGTTATACAACCACCACTCGTGGACGTTTCCTCGCAATCCTGACCACCAAGTCCCCGGTCGCCCATCAAAACCGTCGCCTCTTGCAAACTAAGTGATCCTCCGTCCTGCAAACGCGTTTTTCTGGTTCTGCGTCGCTTGCTTAACCGCTTATTTGCCGCACGAAGCTCTTTGGTCTCGGCTCGGAGCAACACCATCTCATGCGCCAATTTCGAGATGCTCTTCGCTTGCAAGTCGATAATGTCAAAAATATGGGTGGGGGAGCTACCTTGATGGTGTTGAATTTTCCGCTTGAGTGTGCTGGAACTCAGTGTCGCTTCGTGCGCATTGGAGGGTGTCTTGGGGACCCAAGATGTGGCTGTTCCGGGACGCGAGCTCAGAGGAGATGGGGTGATTGGCTTAGGGTCGAGGCGAGAAATTACCGATTCAGGGTCGAAAGGAACGAGGCAGGCTACTCTGAAGCCTGCTCGTACG